CACTACAGCCAAGCCGAGATCGAATATCTCGATAACGCGTCTCGCAACAAAGAAGATCAGATTCGCCATAACCCAATTACGATTGCGATGGATCTCTCGTCGTCCCTCGTAACGAGGTCGCGGAAAGAGTCATGTTTATCGCCTCAATGACACGTAGCGTTTAATCGATCCTTCTTGAGAGCAGCGAAAAACGCGATTAGCATAAGCAAAACGTGGAGAGACTCCTCAGTCCGGCATCGATATCGTATCAATGTGCGGTCTCACGGCGCATTTGCCGCAGGTGCGCATCGCACGATCTCATTTATCGATCGTCAATCACCTGGCGGGAAGAAAAAAGGTGGAAAGGGAAGGAGGAGGGTGGAAAGGAACGCGAGCGAACGGGAGGGAGAGAGAGAAACAAGCGCGAGCTGGTAGTGACTATAAAATAATAATGGGATAAACGCCTACGCATAGATCCCTAATAACGCGAGGAAGTGGTTGCTCTCGACCTGCTTCTTTTGGGTACGCCCACCATGTGCATATTCGTCGTCTTAGAGACGAGCATACCGGCGGCGACGACCACAGGGACCGGAGGGACGACGAGAATGCGCGCGCGTGCGACGTATAATTAAAACCGCCTCTGCGAGGAATGCATCTGCGTACTCGCAACGGTGCGACCAAGTGAGAGAAAGAGAGGAAGAGAGGGCAGGGGAGAGAGAGAGAGAGGCGGCACGAGCGAAAAATTGGCCACGGTGTCCGTTAATATCCGTGCCGGCTGAGATTATCGATAATCGAACGTCCATCACTATTCAGAGGGTAGGTGAGAAAGCTCACGGACATGCGGCTGTGCTCGTCCTCGCTCGTCGGTACAGGGTGCTCCGCGATTCGTTAGTTGAAGTTTTTATTCTGTAAATTTCCCCCGGTGAAATCGAATTTGAGTGACTTTTTTTCACTCTGAATTGTCGAGTGAACACTTTCGTTCAGATTGAAGGGCCAATCTGCTACAACTTCAACGTCCCGGAAATAAATTCGTTCTAGTCGATTAAAGATTTGTTCTAATTGATTAAGTAAAGTATAAATTTTCTCAATTCTTTTTGGGTGAATGCAGTTGATTCGATATCCGTTTTCATTTCACAACCCTTTCGGCGAGGAAACGCGGAGTCGAAATTTTTCAGAGAAGCTATCTATATGATTTTCTATCGTGAAGATTGAGCTCGCGAATTGTGGCACGCCCTGTACGCGTACCTCGTGGTCAAATCGAACGCGTTGCGAAATCGCACGCGCACCGCACAGGCTTCCGCGCGCGCGGCGGCTCGTTTAATTAATAATTTTACAGTCGATTAATTCGCCTAACGTTTAATCATTATTTCACGCGACTTTATAACCAGAGGCTCGCGCACGCCCGGTCAGCACTCAACGCGCTGGTGTTTACGTCGGATTTAACGCGATTTCCGGCTTAACGTGTGTGATCTCGTTTAATCGTTTCATTAATTATTTCCCCGTTGTCGTCGCCGGCAACAAGTAAACGACGTGCGAGCTGATCTTCGACCTAACATATGCATACATAATTCATAGCCGAAACGCTTGCTCTTACTCTCTTGCTTGGTTGCTTTCTCTTGCTCTCTCTCTCTTTCTCCCCTTCTCCGTCTCAGAAACCAACGGGTCACCCTATACCTATATCGTCGTCGACGCGCGTATAATGCGATGCATAAATGCATGGAGGCACGCACTGCGTGCGCGCTTAACATAGATACGTATCTGACAATAAGAAACGCATCGACACGCCGACGCATCGCATCGTGACGCTGGCAACGACGTGACGATGCAACGCACGTATCGGCTTCTACGCGCGCACGCATCCCGCTTTTCATTTCACGCCGGGTATCATCTCTCGCTCTCTCTTGCTCTCGGCCGAGCTGAGTGACTTATCGATACGTAACGCGCGATACCCGACGGAGACGGTACGAGAAGAATTTGTGGCGGCGCACGGCGAGAGTACGTGTTTCTCGCTGCGGGAAGGATCTTGCTTGTTGCGAGTATCACGACAAATAATTTAGCTGAAAGTTCAGGAGATGTATAATTTGCCGAAAAATTAATTAACTGAAAATGATGGGGGAGGACTTAATGTTAATAATACACTGAAAAGAGATGTTTGAATATTTGTTTGAGATATAAAGTTTATTTCTGTGAAATTCACAAAAATTAACTTTATATCCTACAAACAAATTTTCAAAAAATTTTTTTTTGTGAAATCAATAATGTATTCCATCAGTATTCTTATATTCCATAAGTAAATTTTCAAGAATTTTTTTGCTCAAATGTAATATTTTCAAAGAAGATTTAAAAATTACGATTATATGTGATTATGTTTATTAAAAATAATATAAAGCTTTCTTGATGAGGCAATAGAAGAGATTATTTGCCACGATCAACCAGCGTCTGATTTCATTGGCCTGTGAAAATGTTTTACTCGATTGGAAATCTAAGAACCTCGCATTGTGATTATTCATTGGACAAATAATTTAACTCTGAAATGAATACTAGGTAACGCACGGCTTAAAGAGCCTCCCGTGCTTCTCCGAAACGGAGATCCGATCTCTTCTTTCGGGATTGCTTCATTCAGCGTGCCTTATCGCCTGGTTTATGACTCTACGGAGACCGTTTTACTAATCTCTTGGATAAGAGTAGGTCATCGACCTGTCTCAGTAACCAAAACCCGAGCTTGATTCCGATTTCCACTGTATTCCCCGACGAATTCTTAATTCCTAATTTTTCACGCGTGGAAAGATAATTGTCGGTAACGTTGCTACTAACAAGCTTCAATAAAGTTTTAACATTTACAACGTCGAAAGTCAATAGTCTTTAATCGTCCTCATCGTGTTTGGACATAATACGATTTGTTATCACACTATGTGATATGTCAAGCTATCAAAATGACAGATTAGTCGAAAAATCAACAGTCATAATGTGTAGTGGTGCAAGAAAGTTGCAACTCATCCAATAGGAAAAATTTATTTCTTCATCATTCTTCGAAGATGAACTTTCCTCTTGGATATCTGATGCGTTCTGAAGCTCACCGAGGCAAAAATGCCGCAACCCTTCCGCCACTTGTATACATATATCCAGTCACGATGCAGAGATGATCGAAAAGACTAATGACTAATTTGTTAAGTCCCTATCGAAACTCAATATACATTTTCCCGAAAGTTGAATGAAAATTGCGCCTAATTCTTGCTCGAAATCGTCGCGAGACGAGACACTGTCGAAGCACCGAGAGTGCTTCAAGTGACAAGACACTTTTCATCTCCCATATTCTCCTTGCTTCTCTTCTTTCTTTCTTCGTTCCTTCTTTCCTACCTACCTTTCAATCCGCATTGTGCGAGACGAACGGCGGCGCGGCCGTCTCCGTTCTTTTGAAATTCGCAGTACGCTCAGAGATCGGCGTACAATTTATCGCGATAATTGTTGCCCGGCTGTGTTAAAGCCGAGCCCCGCTTTCCTGCGATAGCGCGTAAGACGTAGCAATTAAACCGGAACAAATTGGTTGTTAGGAATTGAGCTCTCTCGCTGCTGCAGCGCGGCTGCGGCGGCGGCAGCAGGCCAGTTTTATTGTGATTACACGGTGCCTCCGATAGATACGTATTCGTAGCTCGGAGGCAAGCTGATTGACTCTCGTCGATAATTTCCATCCGCCTCTGCCTGCCTGCCTGCCTGCGTGGCCTGGAAGACCTTGCCGTTAAAGGGCCTTGAGAGAGCGCGCGCATCCCGTCCATCACTCTCTTTTGCGTACATACACGCCCGGACAAAACCACGAGCTCATCCTCCGAACCAACGCGCGGCGCTTCTTGCTCCAAAACCGTGTAATACAATTTCATGAAGCGCGCACGTTTATTACGGCGAAATTAATTACTACGTGCCAGATATATCGCGCTATTCTTTCGGACCGGTTTATTTCCATTTTATCGCCCGTGCATGCACCAAGTCACGTAGCATCCGCCGAAGAGTGGCCGCGTGAACCAAGTGCCGCGGCGCTCGAGAGTCCCCTTTGTCCGATTGTAAGACAATTTGCCATTCACAGCTTACCGCCCAGACGGCGATTTTTGCGCGAACACGCGTGAAATCCGCGTCATCGGCTACTGTAACGTTACCGATGACGCTGCCGACGGTTTTGTGATGAGGAAGAGTGGCGATTTCTGTCGATCGATCCTTTAAATGTCACGAGTCAATGGACAAACGTGCGTTTCTCCCGAGAACGACGTGATCCGACCTCGAATCGAGAGATTGTTGGATTGATTCGGAGAAGGATTATCTTACGCGCATTAAAGCAAGAACGCGCAATGTGAATTTGTTGCATCGAGAAAAAATTCGAGAAAAAGAATCTGGTTTTAGAACTTGTTGCAAAAATTGCTGTCGCGTTATATTGTGTAAAAATCGAGTCAACAATCCAACTAGGACCAATAGGAATTTAAACTGCAAAATTTAGACAGCAAAATTTAAAATCATTTTTGTAGTAAGTGTCATTACAGCGTAAAAAAATATCTAAAAAATAAAAAATTGAATTGATGGGCATTAATAACATATTTACTTGTTCTAATATATATGTATTATTTTATATTGAGAAAAAATAAAATGAAAGGATAGTCAGTAGAAGTCGATCCATTTCTCGATTACAAAATTCTGTGGTAATTTTTACTACAAAATTTTCTCCGTGTAGCGAATTTAACTCGCATGTGTCAATTAGCCTCTTACTTAGTCTCCGTTACTTTGTTAACTGCGACGATAAAAACGAGCGACACCACGTGCTCTCACATGTAGAGAGGCAAGTGATGGAAGGAACGAATCTCGAAAATAACGATTCCGGACAACCCGACGTTACACGTACCACGTCTTGAACTCGAGTCACCTCTCATACATTATACATGACCTCCCTCGCCTCTCCCTTGTCTCTCTCCCCTCGCGTATGTTGGTCATTGTATTTTAAGAGCCAATTCTACAGCGCAATTCTTTTTGCTTCCTTTCAGATCCGCGGGGCGCTCGAGAATTGGGACGGCGGTGCCTTCAAGCCGAGTGAGTATGCACACATGGGTAATTTCTTAGCCGCGTATGCGTTCACGATTATCGATTACAACGCTGAGCGATCTTAACGAGTTTATTATGCCCGCGAGAGAGTAGCTTCTGCTCTCTTTCTCTCTTCCTATCTTCCCTTTTTCCTCTGCACACCTTAGGAAACTAGTAAAGTGGGCTTATCAAGACGGCCGATGCTCGTCGCCCGCGATAATACCGCGCGCGACGAGCATGCTATCTTTCCGTCCCTTTTTCCCCTTTTTCCCTGTCCTCCCCTTCCTCTCCTTTCCTTTTGCATTTTTTCGATAATCAAACGTGACAGACGGCGAAGGCGATAGATAGGGGCGAGTTACGCTATCTAAAAGAATTCATTAATTAAGCGGGTTACCCTCGATAGGTGCGCGCTGCCTCGCGCGATCGAGATTCGCCATGCCCGATGTGCCTCGCGAATCGACTCGGGAGAAGTCGCGCGCTCCCAGCTCGCGTACGTCGCGCTCGTACTTTTCATCTCGTCTGCCTATTACCGTGAAATGACTATCAGCGGCCATTTCGAATTTACATTAATAAGATCGGCGATCTTTTATCGTCGGCGGCGCGGCGTCGATCGTAAATCGGCGCCGCCGTGTACGCGCACCGCCGCGAAATTTATTCGTGCCACTCGAGAGCGCTGCGGCGTTATCTCGAAACACGATACCGAGCGCATTTTTGCGCACTCGCTTGCTCGTGACTCACGCGCGCGCCCCGACCTTTTTTCGCGCGACCGCCTGAGGATATAATTGCACGATGTCAATTCGTAGCGGGAGAGAGAAAGAGATGGATAGAGAAAGAAAGAAAGAGGGACGACAGCAGCAGACGTAGTGTGGACTACCGTAAATTCGAGCGTGGCTCGCGTTGAATCCGCGAATTACACGGTGCTGGCCGTATTTTACGGCGGAGGGACGGAACGCGTGGAAAAATGCCGACGGTGAATCGTATTGCGTGTGTGGAAAGGGAGCAAAACGACGGTGTTTTTCTTTCTCCTCGTCGGCGAGGACGAAGAAGAAGCGCCGGGGAACGTCTTCGAACGGATAGAAGGTGAAGGCGCGTTAATAATCCCCCGGCTCAATATTAATTTCTTCCCCTTTAATTTAACGTTTCTTCGCGGTGTTTCCCTCGTAACACGTACGCGGCGTCGTTTGGCGCCCTACTATTTCACGGCTCTAACGCGTGTTTCATTTTTGCGTCGCTTCGCGAAATTTATGCACGCGCGCCTGCAGAGTGCATCGTTAACCTTTAGAGGGCCGGAAAACCATTATAGTGGTAGTAGACAACAGTTAGTTGCATTCATGTTCTACACTTATCTACTTATGTGTGTATAGGTATTCACATATCCAGATACAAGTTTGTACCCACTGTCCTCCCCCATCTCTCTCCCCTTCCCCCTATTTGCTATTTTTTTTCTTATATAACGATATAACTAATTCTCATAATTCTTATAATTTACAAGAACTGACAGTTCCATCTTATTCAGCGACCTCGAAAACCTCTAGAAACCTATTTTTTTCAAATTTCAAAATTTTAACATTATCTTTACCCCCCAGCGCCGGGGCCACCACTTAAGTGGTGATTTCCATGATCGGTACTTTGTATACGATGAATATACGATATAAGATACATTTTTTATCGATTTCCTTCGTGGAATTTGGTATCTCAAATGCCGGTCTTCTAAAGGTTAATTACTTAACTAGAGGAGGGAAGGGTGTAAAATTCTGCACAGTGATAGGAACGGCGTAATTATTTTGCACAGTACGGTTGAGGGAATGATTTCTCGCGTGAGATTCGATAACGGAATTCGACGGTTTTTCCGACGTAACACGTGGACAGATTTTAATTATGACCGACGCCGCGCGCTGCCGACAGGTGACTTATTCCCTGGCACGTTTTGGAGCTCTTACTGGGAATACCTGGAGAGATACAGCGAGGCGAGGAGGACTCTGGACGAGCTGAGAGCGTATGAGGACCCCCTACTGGACTTTCTCAGACTCAGGCAGGCTGCAGCCAGGCACTCGCCTTCGTCTTTGCTTCTTCTACCGGTGAGTCTTTGATTGCTATATTAAATTATTTCCGAATAATAATAATAATAATAATAACATTAACATCAATATATATATGTATAAATTTAATTAAAATATATATATTGATAACTGTGTATATTAATTATTAATTCCTTAAGTGATGTCCGGGAAAGTTTTGTAGTGAAATATTAAATTTCTTTTAAACTATTGTATTTTCTGTAACTCAAGCAAGTACAAATTAGATATATTTCGTGTTCTATTTCACAAAATTCTTCAAAGAAATTAGCAATAAAGTCAAGAGAAATCTAGATATATATACTTATTAAAGAAAAGTAAAAATATGTCTACTCTGCACAGGGAATTGTACAATTATTTTAAATCCCCGCTACGGAAGTTAATAGATAATTAAATTATTGATTGATATATATAACTAATAATATATAATCTAAGTAACTAATAATAATGAATATTATTGATGTTACTATATTATTATTATTAAATTTCTGCATCGACGAAAAGTGGCGACGAAAGCACCAAGCGCAGGTGCTGCTGAAATATTTGGAGAACCGTGCGTATCGGTATCCAATAATTCATTTTACCAGATTCTTTTTACATTCACTGTACACATGTGTACAGGTAAGAGAGCGGTCTGTTTGGCGGGGGAAATCCGGAGACCGACTCGATCGCACGCGCACAGCGTCGTAAATCACGTAGCTGTTGTCGAGTTAATCGATGCTAGGCGCGCTGTAACACACGCCTACGATTACGTTTGCTTAATAAAGAGTCGGCCTTGCGAATGATAATTACATCGCGTCCCGCTCGCGCGGTTTTAGTCCTGATCTCTCGGATACCAGCGCGTAACTGAGGGCATGCGGGATCAACAAAGTAGGTATGCACCGGAAAAGAGATTGGAAGCCGGTTGGGAATAGTGAAATGAATCCCATGTTGGAATTCTTATCTTCTCCTCCTCCCCCACATCTCTCTTCCCCTTTCTGTCTCTCCCGAGATACATCCTCTAATTAATCGCGCCGTCATTAAGCCTAATTACGTTAATTCGTTCCGCGATTTCTTCAAACGCGCCGAATACCCGTCGTCTCTCACCCGCCCTACCGCCTCCAAGACTATTTAAGTTATAGTCGATGCATTTTACGAGTCTCGGTCCAAGTGTTCTGCACGATCGGGAAATCGGAAATCGACCTCTCCCTCTCGTAAAAGCCTCACGCACGCGTTTCTCACTCTTCTTCGCCGCTCCTGGGCACGATGTGGTGCGCTTCCCCAGTGAAAGTCTTATCTCGCGCCACTGACGCAACGGGACAGAGAGAGAGAGAGAAAGAGAAAGAGAGTGGGAGAGAAAAAGAACATCATTCTCGGTTTAACCTTTCGAGATTCTCGCGTGTATGTATGGTGAAGAACCTCTTCCCGTCAGTTCTTCCGTCATTTGTCGGCTCATACGGCACGGGCGATCTCGTGCGAACGAAGAAGAAGACGTCAGGCGTGATGAATGCAGACGAGAAATTAGTCGGGGAAATTTCAGGCCGGTCGATTGCCGCCGAAAAAACATATTCTATATATATGATTATCTAGAAAAATATTCAAAATTCTTCTTTCGTCTTCAAAATACCTCGAGTCGATTACAAGCGCGAACCTGTTTTAAAAATAAATATATATAAAAGGGCTAATTTGAGTTCAAGCACAGATGTAATAGTTCTATTATATCATATAGATAAAGCCTTCCTGTTATGAAATGTTAGGAAATAGAGAAATCCTTTATTGAATATAACATAAATCATCAAACGTTTCGGCTCAATCGTGAACCCTCTTCAGTGATAATTACAATAAAATAAAATTACTCAAGGATTGTAGAAGAAAGTATTACAAAACGATGGTATCGTGACTCGGGCGAAACAAACAGATCTCAATGTTCTTCTTGAAATTACAATCGACAAAAACGTTAAGAGAACAGTGATTTTACAGTAGATAATTTGATCCAAAAATTATGATGTGTCTGTTATAACTCTAAACATTAAAAAACCCAAAAAAACAAAAATAAGTAAGAATTGTAATATCAATATATAAAAATAAATATTTAAATTATAAATTACCTCAAATAAAAGTAAGCTACTATAGAAATGTGAAACGTTCCTGTCGACGCCAATATCACCAAGTCAGAGCAATATGAATAATAACAAATTTATATACATTAGCATAAGATATCAAAGCGGTAAACACGTGGAAGAGAAGGAAAACAAAAACGAGAGACTATCATAATAAGCCACAGTAACTGTCACCCAGATATTCTGTGTCCTTCTGTAAATTCAATCCATGTCTTTGGAATTTAATGTAAATCATTTCTGCAATCAGGCGTTTCAAGTAAAAACGTTCTTTATGCAGAACCTTGATATGTTCCCAGTCAAAATCCTCCTTGATTCGGTGTTTCTGTACAACCATCAGTTCCCCCAGTAAATTCTTTGGGATTCTCCTATGTTCGGTGTGGAGAGTCTTCTGCTGGTTTGTCCAACATATGTAGCCTCACAATTACCGCATTCCAACTTATAAACAGCGTTATTATGGTAACCAAGAGGAAGCCCGTCTTTATGCACTCGTATTAATCCCGATAATCTGTTAGCGCAAGAATAAACAATACTAGTACTATCATTTTTGAAAATCTTTGTCAGTCTGTGCGAAATCATACCAAAAAACGGTATAGTAAAGAATTTTTTCTTATTTATAGCAGAAACAGTCAAATTTGAAAAAGTCTGTTTTAAAAAGTTTACTTGAAGTAGAGTGTTTAAAATTATAAAAAAAAATTCAATGTAACACATTTATCGCAATAAAACACATTTATGCTTAAAATTTATCATTTAGATAGTAAAATAAATGTATATGAAAACGTAATTTTGTTTCATAAATAGTAAACTTATGAGCAGCTCCCTCGATAGCGCGCCACTAAAAATACATACAATGGTGAATAAACTCTAAGTTAATTCCAATCATGAGCGGCTGATTGTAAAAAGCACGGAGAAAAATCCGACACGCTTTCCGCATCGGTGAGAAGCGGGAACGTGTGCGCACGTGCTGTGTACATGAGATGAGCTATGTGACAGCTTATAACGGGTGTAACGATCGGAAGAGGCGTACGTAGGAGAGAACGGTTGCCCCCCGCACACGCGATGAAATCGACCGCGACTTTAACACCTTTGAAATATCGACTCGGGCTTTGTGAGGCCACGACGAAGCGAAACTACCCTTCGAGAGAGCGGCACCTCTGATGCGCGCTTGACGCTGATAAGTGTCGGTGAGTGCAGTTTTGTGTTGGGCACATGGTTATCTAAATTTGAAATCCAGAAACTCGACGTGTCTGCCGCCCTTCCTTTCTCTCCTCCCCTCTCTCACTCACTCTCTGCTTCTCCAACCCGGCGAAGGAATTATTCTCTTTACTCCTAGGCTTTTAATTACCTCAAGTTCCGCAATTATTGATAATAGAATATACTAGCCGGCTCGCAATTACTCCTCACCGCCGACTAGCTTCGCGCGCTTCTTCGCGAAACGTTCCTTCCCGAGCTCCTTCTATTCCTTCCTTCCTCCATTTCGTGGTGTGTATCTGTAATTCAAAGCATTCGCGACGATGGCGACAACAATATACGGCGTTTGAGAGAGAGAGAGAGAGAGAGAGAGAGAGAGAAAGAGAGAACGCGCGGTTTACTAGAACGTTACGTTATCAGATTGCTGCGGGAATGTTAACTATGAAATTTCACCTGACCATTTCTGCACCTGTAACTGCGGTAGGCTAGCGTCGGCTGCCTACGCCATGTAGGTACGCGCGTCCGGTAGATTACGCGATGCCTTGTTGCACGTGGGTGTCCACAACGGTCCGCGGTGCCCGTTTGTGGCAGGTATATGAGGTTTATGCCGCGTTGATATATTATTTACTTATCGTCGCTCACTCACACTCGCTCGCGAGGGATTCAGGGTTTTAAAGAGAGAAAGAGAGAGAGAGAACTCGTGAAATAGCGGCGCGCGCATGAAATTGCGGTTACGTCGTTACGAAACGTTGATCTTGATCTCGCGCACCTACGCGCGCGTACAACCATGTGGCGGCTTATTACAGCATTTACAGCTATTCCCTATAATACATAAATCACATTCGAGTGTCTGGAATACTTTCGCGGTAAGGAAAAAATGAAAAACGACTATTTTTCTCTTCGTGACCTATTAACGCCCACGCGACCACCTTACGCGATGATTTCTCATTGCCAGATGTTCGTGTGTAAAACACGTTGGCGGCGTGATCCTAGAATCTGGACTTGAGTCGCTTTGTGCGCCAATAAAAACAAATGTAGAAGCGGCACATTGACAGAGATATATCTGAGAAATCAATTTTAGGAAGAAATAGCACGAACGCGCTATAATTATTATATTTACTTCAAAAATGATATTCTTGATTGCAATAATTTTATTATGCCATTATAAATAAGCAAATATTAAATATTTTATGGAAGATTAATGGACAGTGTTAATTATGATAGATTAGCGGGACAAATTTTGTTTCTTCATAATCTCTTTATTATTTATTTTCTTTGTTAGCGTTGGAAATACATATAGAGAATACGTCAAATTAATGTTAGATCTTAAAATATTTCTGTTGTCTTTTTTATATTAGAGGAAAATATGTAAGAAATAAATTATGTTGTGTGGTTGACTATAATATTTATCTCTTCCAATCACTCAATTTATTTCTTGTATATTTTTTTCTAATAAAAAAAACAGAAAAATATTTAAATCTAACGTTAAGTGACTCATTTTGAATATTAAATAATATATCTATTCGTTTAAAAATATATGTATCACTGTCCCTCCCCCGCCGACGTCCCGCGTCTTTGCTTCCCGGTGCATCCTTCTCTTGGCTGCACCAAGTGGCACTTCGCATACCATTTCGTGGCACTGACTCTCGTGCAAATACATTAATTAAAAAACTCATGTCAATTAACACGATGTCGCTAAAGGGGCGTCTACATTGG